AAAAAATATGATGAGATTAAAGATGGTACACGTTCTTAATGACCCCCAAGACTTTAAAGCCGACTATTTACATAGTGGAAGATTGAACCTGAAACTTCCGAAGCTCTTTCAGGAATTAAGGTATTGATGCGAGTTTGGTACACATAAAATAAACCATCAATGTATAAAGGTTGATATACATACATTCGAATACACAACCGTATTAATATAAAAGTAAACAAACTATCTGTTTATATCGGAATTTATTAGCACTTTAGGAGAATAAGGATAATCTATTCGCAATTATGACATCATATCACCTTGAAATGATATTCTAAAAATAGAGTTGAACTTTTAATGCGTAACTACATAGTTCGTAGTTATGACAACTACTCCGATAGCTTATGCTGGTTTTCTATCGGACGGGAAGATATCAGATACAGCAGCAGGTATTTATGCCACTAATAAGAGGACTCGGAACTTTTTATTTAATACATCTAATGTTTTTCTAATTTTGCATGGCGATCGAATACAATCTGATAATACAATTTTTCGTTTATTCAACTACAAAAATTGGCCACTAAATATCACTGTGTATGATGGTAGTTCAAAAAAATACAGTTCAGATTTGGTAAGTCTGTATAATGTTAAGTTGCAGAAAAACTTTAGTTTGGAACGACCTTTGCGCGGAAGTTTCGAGAAGAGCGGAGAAATAATTTCAAGATAGCAATTTTGGATGGATTAATGCCAGGTATATTACACGAATCACCGCTAAAAGTTTCTCCACCTGCAGTCAGCTGAGAAGCTAAAATCATACCTTTCAATCAATTTTTGGCGCGTTCGTATTTCTACACTTTAATTATCACTACTATTTTGGTAGAGACAGCGCTCATTTTCGAAACGGTTGGCGCACACTTAGAACGTGATGCTTTTCTGGAGAACTTTTGGTCACGCTTTGTCAGAGTTCGTCAACGAAATATTAATTTTATCAAAGTAAAACACTTCATCCAAAATTAGCTATGGCCATTAAGATAACCTTCTTTGCATTACTATGCATAGGTATGTTCGTAGTTCAAGCAAGAAATGAACTGCGTGATGTCCTGATGCCTTTGAAAACGGTATCAGGAATCGAATATCCAGACAGCATTGGTAGTGACCTTGTCAAACGTAACTGGGCATCAGCCGGTTTGGCAGGTGGGTCAACTTTGTTCGCAGGAATAGCAGCCGGATCTTATCAATTAGCAAAATCTGCTTGTTCACCAGCAATACTAGCTAGACTTGCTGTGTCTACAATGTCTGTTGGAGTTGAATATTGTTTTTTCTGGGCTGGGCTAACGTTATTATCAACATCCGTACTGTCATTGTTGGCCATTCTTTTCTTCGACAGCTTGATTAATCATTAGTCAAATTCTTATTTCCTATAGTCCTATGTCCATTCATATTACTTGATTAGGAGAACTTCGAATTAGAAGAATGCTTTTTATGTAGTAATTTAGGATGGACATGGGAAACATGACTGGAACAGTCAAAAAGAGATGAAATGTTCAATAAACATACTTAGAAAGAGCAGGTTTTGAGTTGATATCGCACGGCTTGAGTTATTCGATCACTGATAACATAGTATCTGATAATTGGGAGGACAGGTTACACCAAGCAGGCTATTTGCATGGCATGACGTTAGCTATGAGTGACAATGGCAAGCGAAGTGACAATGATGCTCATATTGTTATCACGGGGAAGAAAGGAACCAGAACAGGTACAACTATATTAGTAAGACCAGAAATGAAAGACAATGTCATGCACATGTTTGCGGACCATTTATTAGGAGTTTCTAGTAATGTTTCTAAACGGTACGAACTAGAATGGGAAAGTTATGACTATGACGGATATAATGGCCAAGGTATGGCTGCCAACTTCGTTGATATAGATCAGGGGAATCTACAAAAGTATCACCAGAATATTAACGAGTTGGCTGACAATTTTCACTTGAGTGATAACGTTGATGGTGACAAACAAGTACCAAAGAAATTGTGTATGGCATGGGGAGGTAGTTCCAGTGCTGGTAGTGATACATTCATGCTGGGGGAAGTATACTCCGAGGACTTTGGAGGGGTCGATGGTGACTGTGAAGGAGCGTAATGAAGAATATACCAGAATATAGTGAAGTTATATAACACTATGGTTTACTGAACTGTTCATGTTTTATTTCTTCCCTTCGAAAAATACTTGTCAAACTCTTGAGCTTTGTAGTATGTATAATTAAATTAGAAGTTTTACTTTTTCAATTATAGTTGGACAGACAAAAACGGTTACTATACCCTGCAATTGGGTGGAACCGCGACAAGCCCGTACAAAAACTGGAATCGTGGTTTTCGTTTACTTTTGAGGGAGCCATGACATAAACATAAACTTACGTAATATAGAATTGTTGTATTAAATAAGCAAGAAAGTTTTTATTTCTTTTACACTCTAACTGAATGTTAGCTCTGAAATTATCTATTTCCTTAACCGATGTTGGAAGATTAATTATTTCGTGCCACCGCTTGGACATTAGTTGCTGGGCTTCAACAATACTGTTATATTCTCTGCTACTAGTTTTCTCGTAACTATTTAGAGCTACTCTTGATCCATGTCCTGCCTGCATTTCCAAAATCTATAGATAAAGGATGAGCTTAATTTGCTGGTGCTAGAGACATTCTTTTTGACTATACCCTGCAACTGAGTGTAAACCTTTCAACCCCATACTAATAGTGTAAATCGTTATTTGTTTACTTTAGAGAATACCCTTATGTCACGGTACTATCAAATCAAACAATGAATACCTATAACTTACATATTCATCACATGCTTAGCATAAAACATACGTCGTTCGTTTTATAGAGATAAAACTTGTATAAAAACAAATAAAAACGCAATATATAAAAGTAGGCAATTAATATCTTCAATTTATCTCTTTCACTGAGGGTTGGATATCGGCTTTAAAGCCTACAACTCATTAAAAAATACAGGAAGATTGATGATTTCATGCCAAAGTTCTGACATTAACTGCTGTGCTTCAACGATATCATTTTCATAACCTCGTGAGATAGACTCATAACTATTCAAGACTGCGTAGTCAACACCTCAAATTTGACCCTTATGTACGGAAAAACAAGGCCTGTAGCGCGAGAGGTACCAGAAGTTTTGGTTGGCGGCTAACATTTCTAACCTTCAAAAGGAAACATACATTTCAATATGAAAATTTACAATATCGACTACTCTGTATATATCTTGCGTTTGACAGTGACTAGGGTATATGTAATTACATGTATTAATGGTTTCTAAATACACCTATTGTGGGACAGAAAAAAACAAAGAAATACTAATCGTTGCCCCTTACCCACCCTCTCAGATTTTCGAACCGATAATATGGTGGTAATTGATAATATTTGAGTTATGCGGTTGTAACAATGAAGGGTTACTAATAAATAGGGTAAAAGCCTATTGGGTTGACCCGCCAAGTGGTCAATTATCCACATTTCGAAAATCTGATACCTGAACAAGAATATTTCAATCTTTTTCTTTTACTTAAGAACTTCATGTATGGGAGTTGTCTCGTTTTAACCTTGTAGGATATAATTTGATAGTTATAAATCAAGTGTTATATATCCTCAATTAGCTCCCCAAGCCAATTTTGCTCCTGTATATTAATATCTAGGTACCTCAAATCCCTAGATATATCGTCTGCCATGGATCGATATTTCTTTACTGAAATAGTTGAAATGTATTTAATCTCTTTTCTGGAATACATGTCCATGTTGATAACACCTGATCGTGCAAACCGCAGTATAGCTGCAGCTTGTCGCTTTAGCTCGCCTCTCTCGGCCAACGCTGATGTCATTGATTTAGGTGTTGTACACTTACCAAACTTGAACATTAACTCAGAATTGGTTAAATTGATATTTGAAACTAATTTCTTCAATTTGTCCGACATCTGCAAGTATAGCTCTATCAACTCTTCTGGGTCTTCTGACGGAACATCCCCTTCCTGAACCTTGCAATTATATAGTATTCGACTCTCTAACTGTTGCAAATTCGTCTCGTAATCTTTTCGTAATCTTAATGCTTCTGCAAGCTTCATTTCTTAATTTTTTAATAATCTAATTGTAAATTGCATGAAGATTAGGTTCATTATATATCCCTTCATGACTCATTTTCAATTAGTCGACAATACCCTGCAATTGGGTGGAAGCGCGACAAACCTTATACCCTGCAACTGCGTACAAACAGTTCAACCCCATACTAATAGTGTAAATTGTTCTTCGTTTACTTAAGAGAATACTCATGATGTCATGGTACTATTCAAAACAAATAAAGAGAGCTAACAATAGAATACTAGATATTAATGAAAGCTAATTCAAACTGGTCGAAGTATATATATTGTAACTGGTCTTTCACTGGCAAAACAGAAACAACTCAAAAAAGTTAACTGTCGTTTTTCCTATTGTAAAGTCTCTGTATACATCAATTCCCAATAATGTCCAGTGTTATTTCTATCATCAGGTAGTATATAAAAAGCATTATTACGGTGTTTGAAAGAATCAACAAGCTCGTTTCTCAAATTTTCTCATCTTCCTAAAAATATTTTTAAAATCATGACCATAACACCATATTCGCAAAATAGTGAAAATTTATATTGCATTGGAAAACTTCTTATTTAACTGTTTCCGACATTGCACCCATCGGTTTGCACTTTTACTATGGGAAAATGCGGCGGATATATTAATGGTTCTCAAAACTACGTAAGTTTCAAAGAAGGGGATGAAAATAATAAAAACACCATATTCAAACATCCATAACATGCCGTGTATGTATTTTTCACTGGTAGATGGTGATTCTATCACAATCGATGATCCTAGCAATGGATGCATTATAATAAATTTTGATCAATTTATTAGAGTTCTCGATAATTATGAACAAAACTCAAGGGTCTTTTTGGACACTCATTTGTTAAAGATTCGGGGTAATGAAGATGAGCAAGAACACCATACAGAAAAACTAGTGTCTAAGGATAATGCGTCTGTGGGTCTAGTTAATATGCCTCCTGTACCTATTCTTGTGTATACTAGCCGTGCATTGATTACTGCTGAATTTAGGGAAATGAGTACTGATGATTCCAAGGAAGCCTATCTAGCTCCGTTTGATAATGCTCTTAGAGAATCAAGTGTTAAGAGTCTACCTTTGGAACGCCAATATAAAATATCCACTGGGAAATTCAATGCACGTGGAGCAATCTATCCAAGAATACTTTAATGAAATAGCAATCCCAGTCAGGGGACTTTATCGTGATGTAGGTGATAGGTGCAACTATTTTGGCAATCCATCTATTATAAGACCACCATTGGATCAAAGAAGAATGGTCAAACCTAATATCATTCATATGGCAACTGGATCGGATTTAAATATACAGTATCCAAGAATTGTCTTTGGGAAAGGGGATTACAAAACGGGAATATATAAAATGATAAAATGACGCAAGGCTTTGAAGAATTCAATTAAGTTTTCTGCTGCAAGATATGCAGGATACCCCTGGCCATAGTAGGCGGTGTGTCCTATGTAATAAAGAAATTGGTCGCAGCTGTTGTCTGTCACGGCAGTATTGTTCAAGCGCATCATGTCGGTAGCCAATGTGTTTTCTGGCTTCTTGTACAAATAAGACAACGAGAAGTTCTGAGTAGGAATAGCATGTCCGGTTGTCCTGAACGTATGTTGTTTGAATCCTTTCGAGATATTATGTGCTTTTTTGAGATGCTCGTTGATGTACTTCTCAGCACAAAAGTCAAAACAAACGCTGCATACGTTTAGATTTTTGAGCTTTACGCCTGCTATGTCGGGATTCTCTACACCCACGGACTGTCTATGTAAGTAATGGGCTCGTGAGCGAATTTGGAAGTGGCTGCTGATATGGTCCAATATATCGTCGGAACTACTTCTTGCTAGTCGATGCACATGTTTTCTGAACCTTTCCGATAATGGGTTGAAAATCTTTTTGTCGTGAATCACCAACGATATGCCTTCTACCTGAACTATGCGTAAATCATGCGTCTTCATAATATTATGTATGCAATGCACTAATGCTAGTATTATACTTGACACTTCAGCAACGTTGTCGGTGCGTTCTTTTTTTTTTGGTAGTTGAACGTACTGTGGTGTGACCTGAGGTCAGGTGGTTTATATATCATGTGACTGGTATCATGCCTTGTCGGGTTGGCAGTTGGCTTCACAGGGTTTACAGCTTGCCAACAGAGGCCAAACTACGGGTCTATAAAGGTATGGTTGGGGCAAGATATATCTCCCTACCAGAATGTTTTACTTTTCATGTAATTTAGTTTGATTACGGAAAGTCCAAAATTTTATTATTTTTTGCAAAAATAAAATGAAAACAATTTTTACTTTTACGAGTTTTTTTCTCATTGTAAGATAACTCACAAATAGTTCTCCTTGTTGTGTGAATTGTACAACACACCGATGAGTAATAAATGTGTTAGTAGGTTAGCAGTCAAGTTTAGCGGGTTGTCACTTTTTTTTGAAATGAAAGAATCCTGTATATAGTGCATTTTTTCCGTTTAGAGTGCTAAGTGCGGGTTGTCAGTTTTTACATGAGTCAGGCAACCAAAATAACAAAATAACCAAAAGTTTCACTTAATATGTCTAAAGATCTCTTATCTCTTGCACTATCAGAATCCCAGTTCCATCCACCGTTGTCATTGTGGCTACTTACTACGTAAGATGCCCAGTTCATGACGGCAAGTACTGCGCCAGACCAACCGCAAGCAGCTAGTGTTGCACCAGCTCCAGCAGGGTTTGCTACTCCTAATGCTCCTAAGAATGTTGGTGTACAGGCTGTAGCGTAAAAGGCATCGGCTGAACTAACAATAAACGAAAACATCGATACCGTACCATCGACAAAACTAGTTTTCCAAGACCTAGCTCTTTTTTCAAGCGCATTTTCAAGTTGAGTTACACCCTCATCATTATTGATCAAATCATTACTACCAAGTTCACTGATAACATCACCATTGTCACAACTTTCGCTGACACATAGGTCCTGACTTTTATAAAACCCTTGGTTATTAGCTGCCTGAATGTCACCCTTATCATCGTATTCAGTTTCCTGTTGTTTAATATCATTCAAATTAATTTGTTCGAGATTATTAAGCTGTTCACTATTATTATCGAACACATTCACCATAAATGCTATAGCACTCAACAAGATTAACATCATTGTCAAAAAATAATAAGCTATATTTTTAAAATTTTTATTCACACGTTCTTGTTCTTCATTATTAATATTAATGAACTCATCATGGTTATTTTTACAATTCATTATTTTAATTAATTTTCCGTACACCGTACTCTATTAATTATGTTGATTGTACAAGATTAATATGTAATGAATTATCACTGTAATCTAAACTAATATTGTTGATTTATATTACTGGAGATATTAGTACGGAGATACTAATTTTCACTTGAATCATGTGATTAAATTAGTACTTAGTTAGATGTTTTACTTCCAACAAATTCGTGCATTACTTAGTCCGAGCGTCCCGTTCGTAACCTACGCACCAATCATATCGATATTTGTCTTCATTTCGTCAGAGCGCATATTATTCAGAACGAATTAAGTTATGTCAAATTGATACTAATTGTCAGATTGCAGGTAGAGAATTCAAATAAACCTTCGTCTAACAATAGCCAGTAACGCCATTCATAATTTGCATAGCTGCACCATTTCATCATTCACTGACAGGAAAACACAAGAAGCAGCTCATAACGTGATTTTTTTTATTACCGGTATTTCTATTTATGGACATTTTTCTTGCTCAGAAATGTTTATGTAATCTGATTCTACTATATACGGAGGGCGATCTACTAGGTAGCTACATACAATTATATAGGAGAAAGAATGTTGACTATTCTTACTATTATTTTCATTTTATCAACAGCTTACTGTGTCTATCAAGCACTTACCCAATCCTATACATGCTTATATTATACTTTTATTCTATTACTTTATAACACTGCTATCGGCCGCCAATATGACTAATTTCGAGGCACTAGGACCATCATGCCAGCGAGCGGCAGTTATGAATGGAACTATTGTCGCATCGTGTATTCATTCATGCAAGACACCAATTATGTGTCAATGAATTTCGCTATTTTAAGTAATAAATACGAAGTAAGCAGAAATTCAACGCACACTACCAACTGACAATCAAAAGAATGACAACCCTGACTTTTGACTGCTAACCAATTACTCTTTTTCTATTTGTCGGACCGCTGTAAAATATCCATCATAGGACTTGTTCATATTCGAAGCATATTTTGCCCAAAAAAATTATTCAATTATCTAAAATTTTAAATATTTTATGTTTTTTGTTACGAAATATCGTACAAGTAGCAAACTGAAGTGGGATTCTTGAATTATTGCGACTTCTGAAGTTCCCACGATTGAAATAAATTTACTTAAACTAAATCGGTGCTAAAACACATTTATATAGGGTCTGAGCAAGTCTTCTGTAGCCTGGTAGCTCTTCTTGAAGTAATTTCTCTAAAGGGGAACTCATTTCCACATACATTTAATCTAAACAGCTAATGTTAATATATATTCTTAATTACTTAATTCTAAGAACTTCAAGCTACCTCGTGATACTTCCTAATTTAATGAACGCATTTATCAACTCGTACGTGTTAAAGTATTCTGTTTGAAATACTTCAGTTGTTGAAATATTTGGTGAAATATTTAGTGGGAATTATTTTCACAAGGAACAATTAAAATGAGAAAATGCAAACAGGTTGCAAAATCAAATAATATTGGTTTGAGTAAACAATTGAAAACAACATATGAACATTCCGTATTTAAGACAAATGAAATGATCTAAGAATTGATGACTGGACAAATAATTACTTGTTTGAGTAGTTAATGAGAATTGAAGTTTGAATATTAATTAATAGAAGTAGTAAAGAACTCAATTGGGTAATCCAAATATTCTGTTATAAAAGGAGGCCGATTTGATGGCCAATTACTTTTTAGTTTAGAAGATAAATAATTTATATTGTATATTTGAATATAGATTACACACTGTTTAAACTGCAATGAATACTGAAATGAGTACCCCTTTAGAGAAATTACTCCAAAATTATCACCGTAATCTAAACTAATATTGTTGATTCTAGCCATTCTGGCATTCACCATCAATGCCACCATAACCATTAGCATACACTTCTCCAACCCATGCTGAATCCTTGGTTCTGGTATTACTCATACCACCTGCTAAACAAATTTTGCTGTGTACGCCGTAACACCGAAAGTCATTAGTACAGGGTTGAACTTTCTGTAAAATTGACTGATCACCCAGCTTTTCTTGCGCTGCTTTTGAGAATTCATCCCAATACCACCAATCATGTACGTAGCCTCCATTTTCACCCCAATCATTGTATGATTGCCAATACAGATTTCCTGTACGTTTTGCCATAGACATCAGACTGTTTTTGCCACTACCTTTTTCATTCTGATCGACCCACTCAATATTATCACTAAAACATTCATTTTCATCACCGCAACGGTGCCAAGTTTCAATCGCATCATTTTCAGACCCTGATTGTATTACCACAGATTTGTTGTGATTGCCATGATCTGCAATAAATTGATACCCTATATATTCTGCCTTACCCAGTGAGGTATCATACAACAGTCCATGATCTAATATCTGACTAGCGATACTATCTCTTTTAGTCAAAAGCTGAAAATATTCATGTTCATCGTCCCTTATAGAGTATAAGTTATTAACTAGTGGGCGAACAGCACTGTCCGGCAAATAACCAAAAGTTTCACTTAATATGTCTAAAGATCTCTTATCTCTTGCACTATCAGAATCCCAGTTCCATCCACCGTTGTCATTGTGGCTACTNAAATAACCAAAAGTTTCACTTAATATGTCTAAAGATCTCTTATCTCTTGCACTATCAGAATCCCAGTTCCATCCACCGTTGTCATTGTGGCTACTTACTACGTAAGATGCCCAGTTCATGACGGCAAGTACTGCGCCAGACCAACCGCAAGCAGCTAGTGTTGCACCAGCTCCAGCAGGGTTTGCTACTCCTAATGCTCCTAAGAATGTTGGTGTACAGGCTGTAGCGTAAAAGGCATCGGCTGAACTAACAATAAACGAAAACATCGATACCGTACCATCGACAAAACTAGTTTTCCAAGACCTAGCTCTTTTTTCAAGCGCATTTTCAAGTTGAGTTACACCCTCATCATTATTGATCAAATCATTACTACCAAGTTCACTGATAACATCACCATTGTCACAACTTTCGCTGACACATAGGTCCTGACTTTTATAAAACCCTTGGTTATTAGCTGCCTGAATGTCACCCTTATCATCGTATTCAGTTTCCTGTTGTTTAATATCATTCAAATTAATTTGTTCGAGATTATTAAGCTGTTCACTATTATTATCGAACACATTCACCATAAATGCTATAGCACTCAACAAGATTAACATCATTGTCAAAAAATAATAAGCTATATTTTTAAAATTTTTATTCACACGTTCTTGTTCTTCATTATTAATATTAATGAACTCATCATGGTTATTTTTACAATTCATTATTTTAATTAATTTTCCGTACACCGTACTCTATTAATTATGTTGATTGTACAAGATTAATATGTAATGAATTATCACTGTAATCTAAACTAATATTGTTGATTTATATTACTGGAGATATTAGTACGGAGATACTAATTTTCACTTGAATCATGTGATTAAATTAGTACTTAGTTAGATGTTTTACTTCCAACAAATTCGTGCATTACTTAGTCCGAGCGTCCCGTTCGTAACCTACGCACCAATCATATCGATATTTGTCTTCATTTCGTCAGAGCGCATATTATTCAGAACGAATTAAGTTATGTCAAATTGATACTAATTGTCAGATTGCAGGTAGAGAATTCAAATAAACCTTCGTCTAACAATAGCCAGTAACGCCATTCATAATTTGCATAGCTGCACCATTTCATCATTCACTGACAGGAAAACACAAGAAGCAGCTCATAACGTGATTTTTTTTATTACCGGTATTTCTATTTATGGACATTTTTCTTGCTCAGAAATGTTTATGTAATCTGATTCTACTATATACGGAGGGCGATCTACTAGGTAGCTACATACAATTATATAGGAGAAAGAATGTTGACTATTCTTACTATTATTTTCATTTTATCAACAGCTTACTGTGTCTATCAAGCACTTACCCAATCCTATACATGCTTATATTATACTTTTATTCTATTACTTTATAACACTGCTATCGGCCGCCAATATGACTAATTTCGAGGCACTAGGACCATCATGCCAGCGAGCGGCAGTTATGAATGGAACTATTGTCGCATCGTGTATTCATTCATGCAAGACACCAATTATGTGTCAATGAATTTCGCTATTTTAAGTAATAAATACGAAGTAAGCAGAAATTCAACGCACACTACCAACTGACAATCAAAAGAATGACAACCCTGACTTTTGACTGCTAACCAATTACTCTTTTTCTATTTGTCGGACCGCTGTAAAATATCCATCATAGGACTTGTTCATATTCGAAGCATATTTTGCCCAAAAAAATTATTCAATTATCTAAAATTTTAAATATTTTATGTTTTTTGTTACGAAATATCGTACAAGTAGCAAACTGAAGTGGGATTCTTGAATTATTGCGACTTCTGAAGTTCCCACGATTGAAATAAATTTACTTAAACTAAATCGGTGCTAAAACACATTTATATAGGGTCTGAGCAAGTCTTCTGTAGCCTGGTAGCTCTTCTTGAAGTAATTTCTCTAAAGGGGAACTCATTTCCACATACATTTAATCTAAACAGCTAATGTTAATATATATTCTTAATTACTTAATTCTAAGAACTTCAAGCTACCTCGTGATACTTCCTAATTTAATGAACGCATTTATCAACTCGTACGTGTTAAAGTATTCTGTTTGAAATACTTCAGTTGTTGAAATATTTGGTGAAATATTTAGTGGGAATTATTTTCACAAGGAACAATTAAAATGAGAAAATGCAAACAGGTTGCAAAATCAAATAATATTGGTTTGAGTAAACAATTGAAAACAACATATGAACTATACCCTGCAATTGAGCGCGATATGCCTAAACCATACAAAAATTGCAGTTTGCATTTTGTTTACTTTTGGGGGAGCCATGACATCATGGCTCCCTCTAAATCAAAACAAACCAACTAATTATTATGTAATACATAATAAGGCATTATATAAAAAAAAAAAAATAAGTATATTTTCACATGATAATATCTAATTCCTCTCCAAAACTATTATCCCTTTAAAAAACTTCCTTCTGTTCAAGTTGGATATTGGGCTTGAATGTTTCTATTTCCTTGAGAGAGGTTGGAAGATTAATAATATCGTGCCATCGTTCAGACATTAGTTGCTGTGCCTCAACAATACTATTTTCATACTCTCTACTGTTGGTCTTTTCATAACTATTGAAAGCAACTGATGGTCCATGCCCGGCTTGCATTTCTAAAAATTTATAAATGAATGAAGAACTTAACNTGCTTGTGCTAGAAACATTTTTTTTAACAAATTGAACCATGATTTGCCTCCAGTCTCTTATACCCAACCTTTTCTTGATGAATTTGGTACTCATATGCATGAATAGAGCATACATATCTTCTTGTTGAACGATACCACTTATATCTACAAATAGATATCTAGTACATCTTTCTTGTAACTTTTCCCATTTTTCCTTATTACTATCTGCTTGCTTCAATTGTTCCATTAACCTCAATTCATAATATCTTGCGTAATTAATATAGAAGAAGACAACCTTTGAAACAATTACAGGGTATCCTCTTGATATAAGTTTAGTATTGTTACTGACATTATCAGTCTTATTATAAGTATATGTACACAACATTTTTCCACCACGGAAAAATATATTTCGCTTNACGTCGTTAAACTGTAACCCTAACACCTCNGTCATTCTAAATGGAAGACCTCCCGTGAAATACATCAATAAAATGATGATTTTATTTAATTTGAAAAAATTAAAACAAAGCGCTCTTCTTAAATCTTCTGGCGAGTCGAACTTAAGAAACGGAAGTCGTGTTCTGTATGCATATACTGGCATAAAACAAGATGTTGCCGAATAAAAGTCTTGATTATAATTTTCATCAATGAAATCTAACAACCTAATTCCGGGTGATAGAATTGGTGCTAATGTATCGCAAAATCTACTTATAAGATATGTTACGAATACTGGTATATCTGACAAGTTTATTTCGGTATCTCTGTATAGCTTGGTAAAGTATTTTCTTGTGAAATAAACATCATAGTAATTGGAAACTATTGTTCTAAACTCAAATAATTTNGACTTCATAATTTTAAGTACTTTATAAATTGTGGTGTAGTCTTCAGTAGCTTTAAAATATTCCTTATACCCTTTTTCTAGGTTATGTCGATTTGTATGACAGTAATTAATTAGTTCTAATTTCATGAAAAATTGAACTGCGTCAAATAAATGCTGGATGCCACTTTCGTCTCGTAAGCTGCATGTCACCGGCTCTAAATGATTGATCCACAATGCAACTATAAACGGGGAACTTACAAATGTGAATCCAACTGGATTTATTTTCTTTAACATTAAATGGTTATCAACATAGTTTGATATCACATCAATGCTATCAATAGTTTCAATGTCATCATCGATCCCGTCTAATTGAAAATATCCAAGTTCCTGTAATTTGATCATAGTATATAGAATTTTAAATACAATGTTTGTATACATCGTAACAGTTCTTGGCTGTACATTGCGGAACTTCTTGAAAAGACTATGGCCAACCTGATGATCTTTTCTAGCNAATTCGCTAATTTTCTCCATTTTATCTACCAAAGCTTGTCTTAAGTCATGAATGGCTTCCGATTCTTCAGGTAGTTGGAACAACAACAGACTGAAATTCTTTCCGTATTTATCTAGTACGTTCTCTTTGAAATTAATATCTTCTAAATATTTATTTCCACTCAAAACATATTCAGTTAATTCTCGAGTCAACTGTGGTTTATTTAGTTTGGTTACAATCGGACTAGAAATTTCGGGGAATTCATGTGAATTGATTACTTTAATATATGACAGTGAGACCTTATGACCCTGAATGATCTGAAATGGGCCTCTGTTATTACACAATTCTTTAGTAAAAGGTTTATAGTGTGCAACATGGTGCAATCTTTTTGAAAGACTAGAACATAGGGGACAATGTTTGAGAGTGTAAAGGGTNGCATGCTCAATCGCGCTCGCTAAGAAACCGCTACGAACCCCTATGTAATTTTCATCAGGAATTATTTTGAGTATCCTTGCTTTAGTGGAATCATCTTTCAATAATTTTGAAGTTGATGTCATCCTCTTAAACCATTCGTTTGTTTTATGGATATCAAGGATTGCGCCATTTCCTTTTTTCACTACAATTTTAGCCCAATTATCAAAGCGATATCCATTGAAATCTAGCAATTCTTCAATAGCTTTTTCTTCGTCTTCAGGGNTTAAGAATTCAGCGGATGTCCCTGAAATCGGTGATTCTGGAAGCCTAGCTCTATTGCTTAATTCTTCGATAACAATATCTGGATTCCCGCCAGGAAGAAGCTCCTCATCAATCAGGTCATGATCTTGTAGTTCTTCATATTCTTGCATTTTCTCTTCCATTTCCTCCACTTCTATATCAGTTTCATGCACAACTTCAAGAGAGTTTAAGTCGGCACGTGGACTTTCAGGTTCAATAAAATTGATATAATTATCCTCCTCTATATCTTCACTCGCTATTNCATTCGTATTGGTATTTTCATGTTGAATGTCAGATTCATTATCTGAAGTTTCTGCGTCTATAGTGAGCTGAGAATCTAAAGTAGTACCCATTCCTTTTTCTAACATAAGGCTCCCATCATCTTCGGCATAGAGGTGATTCCTAATTACTGCATCGTCTCGATTATTATCTCTACCATCGTTATTGTTAGTATTCTCACTACAAAATTTTGTATTCTGAAATAAATCTGATTGGTCATTACCCCAAGCAAAAACCTGGTTCAGATACATTAAATGGCTCTTTAATTCTCTGGCAAATTGTTTCTGTTTCCGCTTTCTGTGACGACATTTTTTGCATGTTTTCATCTGACTAGCTGTTTTCTTTTCCTTTCCGCAACTGCTACAGATTCTCATATTAACTCCAATCAATGTGGCAATATTATGCCGCTTTAAAGCAGCAAGATTTGAATTTTACTTTATTATTTTTTTATTTCTACTTGACTATGATCCCTCATTTTTCNATTCCTCGGTATACGAAAAAAAAAAATATAGAGCATATACATTATTAATGCATGTGAAGGAGTTAAATGAATATCATTTCAGCGCGGGTTTTTTTAGAAAAACTACTTTCTGAACATATGGCGCTAAGAATTTCGCGGGTGGTAAAAAACTACAATGTGGGCAAAAAAAAGTTCAATGTGTCCCATATGTTTAATAATGTAGCATATTCTTGGAAATAGAGCATATACGTAGAGAAAATGCTGTTTCACCATTTCATGTAGGAATTGGGTGATATATTAGGAAACTAGGTTTTGTAGAATCGTAAGATATCCATTTCTCAGATCATTTACAAAAATGTTGAGATATCTTCCAGATGACAGAAAAATCATAAAGTTTTCCTTTTGCATTAAAACTCTGGCAGTGAAGTACGTATTTCCTCTTCATGCTAAATACCGAATATTATAGCCATATCTGCAGTTTTCACAATGTTCTAAATGCTGCAATTACTAGTTCACTCCCGCCAGATCGCACACATGTTAAACTAGTAAATGGGGGTGCGTGCATATAGCAAGGTGGTAACCGCCGAGTCGCGCACCAATACCCGCGGAGTGTGCATACAAGTGTATGCTTCGTCGAGAAAAGTTGATGTGCTGTCGCTTTACAAAGCATAGCTNACCACGTACCTAATCTAGCATGGAGCTGCATGGAATCAAAGTCATTAGTGTGGAAGACGCACCAGTATTGGTTTGCCGGGGCCGAATTGTCAACCCCTTTTCAAAGGAGTTTGCAATGAGGCTTCTACCCCAACTTATTCCGATCACCGAAGAACGACGAGACGTATTGGACGAGATCATGAACCACTTTGCGCTGTATTCGAAGGAACACTACTTGAGAAAACGCATTATGCCCATTGGTAATACAGAAATCCCTGAAGTCAAGGAAACCAAACTAAATATCTGCACCCTTTGTTTCAACCACTGTTCCAAACGTCACATCAACGAGCACCTTAAAAGTGCACATCATATAAAGAACAGGTTCCTCCAACATACCTTTGCTACACTGGGGTACACGATCCCCAACCAGAAACGAACCATGTCCTATTTCTACCGCAAAAAACTGTATTCGGAGAAGCCCATTGATATGTTTGATATTGGCAATAGAGCAGCTAGAGACAATAGCGAGGACAAGTTCTTGCGGTACATCCACGCGGAGGACTATCAGGGCAAAGGATACGCGCAGTATATTGCAAGTGAAAACGAAAGAGAAAGCGAGCCAGTTGTTGCAGTGGTCGAGACCTATATGATGAAAAAAAGAGAGCACATGA